GCAAGGGGGGGGGGGGTGGAGTGGTCCAAGTTCGGTGTGGGGTGAGACGGTGGCGAGTGGTCAGCGAGAGGATCACGAGCTCTTGTGCCGCAACTGGTGGGAAGGAGGGGGGGGGCGACAACGCGGCGGGAGTGGCTTGATGTGAGCGATCGTGAGGTAGGAACAATGGATCAAAGAGATTTGAAGGTGTGTGCGTGTGTCTGTGTGTGTGTGTGAATGTGTGTGTGTGTCTGTGTGTCTGTGGTGATCGCAGCCATGTGCATTGCGATCTTTGGTTGAGCGTTCATCTTGGTCATGGCCCTCTTCCTGCAGGCGTAAAATGACGTACAGCTCAGCTCACTCCCCTTCCACCACATGCCCATATTACTAACATTCTTGTTTCTCTCGCATCCGACGTTGATCACCATCGGAGTCTTATCGCTCTCCCCTCAGCTGCGCTCAACACGCTTGGGTGCCGGCCGAGCAGCCGAGTCCAGCCCCGGCCAACCGGCGCCCATCCCACAACAAGGGGGAGCGACAGGGACGGCGGAGCAGGTCGGGTTGAGGCACACTCGACGTGTGACAAGCAGAACAGACAATGTCATTGGGGATATTCCGTATGTCTGCGGGACTCTCGTCGGCGACACAAGGTCCGGTCGCTTGGTCTGTGTCTGAGGACGGAGGTGAGGCCAAGCTTGCTGAGACGCCGGTCGAGTCGTCGGCCGAGCAAGGCGTAGGCGAGGCTGCAGCAGGAGGTGGAGAAGAGACAGCAGGAACAGGAGGCGGCGAGAAGAAGAAGCGGGCACGGCTTCGGCGTGTGCGGCGGAAGAAGAAGCCGATGCCGTTTGTGATCGGAGTGGAGGAAGCATCGATGTTGTACGAGCCGTGCTCGCATCGGTACGCGGCAAAGTGGCCGCTGACCCTCATCTGCCGCCGTGAGCCGGCCTTTCCCTTCTTTACCACACTGGAGCAGCGGGAGAAGGGCTGCGTCATGTTCTATCGAAGGTATCTCGAGCTGCTAGAGATCGATGGCCACTCGACAGAGCGCGCTGTCGGCGCCTGGACACTCTACGACAACTGCATGAAGGCCCCGCTTCCGCCGCATGACGCCATCTAGGTTATGGTCCGCCACATGGCCTACCGCGCGATACACCGTACGCTCTGCCGCACGATCCGCTGCACGAGCTACGGAACGAGGCATCACAACGGCGACTCTGATGGCGGAGACAGGTTATTATGGCGGCTGCCCACAGGGAGTTGCCCGGCGAAGAGAGGTTACCGGCGAAGAGAGGTTACCGGCGAGGCTGGCGTTCCCGTTGCAGCAGCTAGCCGGAGGCAGAGTCGCTGGCGCGCAGCTGGAGCGCAACGACGAGGTGGTAAAAGTGCCGCGCGCCGAGAACGATGGAGACGTGCATGATCTGGTGCGAGTGGCCGATGTAGTCGAGGACGGTGGCCGCGAACATGCGCTCGGGAAGACGCAAGACGTAAAAGAAGACACCAAAGGCGTACCAGGCGTACATGGCCGAGACATGACTCCAGATGAGGCCGCCAATGTCTGGCGCCAGCGCACAGCCCGAGGCGACGCCCATGAGCGCGAGCAGAAAGAGACCAACAAAGACAGCCGTGCCGTCGCACCATGCGCATCCTGTCCGCGACGATGCCCGGCAGCTGGCAGCCACCGGCAGCGAGACGAGGCCAAGAAGATGCAGGCCGCCGAGGACAAGCACGGCGGCGGCGAGCCAGGCGACGACGAGGGCAAAGCGACCCGAGCCAAGATCGGTGAGCAAGTAGTGAGCAAGGAGTCCGAGGGATGCACCGAGGACGCTAAGAATGCCTGCGCGATCAACCCCAAGCGCCACAGCGGCGTCACGGGGAGGAAGGATGCGGACAGTGTGGTACCATGCCGAGCAGGCAAAGCAGAGCCAAAGACCGATGAAGAAAGCGATAGAGACCAGGTAGTCGTCGCGGGGTGGAGGGGCACGGAGCGAAGGGAGCCAGTAGCAGACATGCCAGAGACCAAGCATCGGGGTTAGCATCGCCGGCAGCAGATGGCTCCATACGTTTCCCATTTCGTTGTGCAGCACCCATCGCCAGCGCCCGCCCTTGCGCCCACCACTTTGCAGCCAAACGAGTCCGAGGGCAGAGACCAGAGCCTCACCCAGCGACTCGGCCTGTTTCCGGTAGCCGGTCGAGATGTAAGGGACGCGGGTGTGGAGCGGCGCCGAGTTGGCAAGGAGAAGCCCCGGTTGGCTCGCCAGCCATCTGGCAACAGGCATGGCGCCAAGGCGTGGTTGTGGTTGTGGTAGTGGCGGTAGTGGTGAAGTGTGGTGAGGGCGAGTGGAGGAGACTGTCGTCAGCCGGCCGGCAGCTTCTGGCGGGAGCTGTTGACGGGAGCCACGGTTGTGTGAGATTCAATGCTGACGGGGGGGGGAGATGAGCGTTGGCAGGGAGCGCGTTTTGAGCTGGGTTACGAGCCATGCTCGGCGGGATCGAGGTCAGCGATGGCCGAGAACGAGTAGCCGCCGCGACCGTCAAAGGCGAGGACGTAGTCGTGGTACTTCCACAGCGACTTGCGGTGCGAGACGGTGAAGAGAGTGATGCCGAGCTCTGAGCGGCAGTGCTCGTACATAAAGCCCTCGACGTCGACCGAGACGGCCGAGGTGCACTCGTCGAGGATGGCAAACTGCGGCCTGTGGTAAAAGAGGCGGGCCATGGCGACGCGCTGCTTCTCGCCGCCGGAGAGGACGTCTGCCCAGTCGGCGACAGTGTCCCATCCGCCCTCGCGGGTGACGATGTACGCGAGGTGGACATGGTCGAGGTAGCCGAGCAGGTCGTCGTCGGTGTGGCCGGCGGCGTAGAACTGGGCGGCGGTGTGCGGGTAGATGATCTGATCGCGGAGGGTGCCGAGGGTGAGGTACGGGCGCTGCGGGATGTAGAACAGGTTGTCCTTGGTCGGCTTGGTCATCTTTCCGCCAAACAGCGGCCAGAGGCCGCCGAGCGTACGGAAGAGCGACGACTTGCCGCACCCGTTCGGCCCGCACACCAGCACGTTCTTGCCGGCCTCGACCGCAAACGACATGGAGCGGATGAGGACATCGCCGTTGGGCGTGACGATCGGGACCTTGTCAAAGATGATGACGTGGTCCCGGTTGACGATCTCGCCCGAGTTGGGCGCAAGCGCGATGGCGTCGCTCGACTCGGCCGACGCGCCGGCGCCGTTGTCGGCGGCGATCATAGTGCGGACGTACTTGCCCTTGGCCAGGTCCTTGAGGACCCGGTCGAGGTCGGTGACGCGGTTGGTGAAGCCGGCAAGGCGGGTGAGCTCGCGCCCGGCGAGGACCAGGCGGCCCATGGCCTTGGCGAGGTTGACCAGCATCCGGCCGGCCCGGTAGTACGCCTCCATGTTCTCAGACTGGGCAGCGGCGCCGGCAAGGCCCGAGCCGCGGGCGAGGAAGCCGCGCGACATGACGAGGAAGCCGACGACGGTGGCAAGGTACTTGGCGACGACATTGTCGACGAGGCCGATGAGGCCGCGGAACTGGAGCGCGTTGCGGAGGTGGGTGACGAGGCGCGAGAAGGTCGATGCAATGGTGATCTCCTCGCGCTTGTTACCGTTGTAGAAGGCAATCTCCTCCGAGTGGGTGATGAGTCGCGAGTTGACGTAGCGGAACTCGCCCTCGAGTCGCTGCTCCTGGACGGTAAAGGCCCCGGTTGGGCGGCGGAGGCGGGTGAGGACCACGCCCGAGAGCACAAGGTAGCCGAGCATGACGACCGGGCCCTGCAGGCCGATGTTGTCGGTGAGCGCTCGCGAGTAGATGACAATGTCCAGCAACGGCTTGGCAATGTTCGAGTAGAGCTCGGCGACTGAGTCGCAGAACTTGAGCACGTCGGTGGTGAGGAGCTGGTCGGCGTTGGAAATGCGGTTGTCGAGGTTGCTCACCTGGTAGTAGGTGTAGTCGGCGAGGTACGACTTGTACAGCTTGTTTGTCAGCCGGGTCCGGAACCGGAGCGCGAGCTCCCACAGGCCGTACTTGAGCAGGTTGTTGGTGACCGAGAGCGGGAGCATGGCGAGAATGAGCTTGAACAGATGCGTCTTGAACCCGATGGCATCGCCGGTAATGATGCACCGCTCGATGGCCGTGCCGTTGTTGAGCATCCACACGTCGCAGTACGTCCGCGCCACCATCGACACCGCCACCACCACCATGTATGCGGCCTCGGGCGAGAAGAGCGACGGAACAAGAGTCTTCATGATCTTGGACATCGAGTTGAAGAACTTGCCATCAACCGCAACCTTGGACGACTTGGAAGACTCGGAGCCCTTGGGCGCAAACAGCATCGTCGGCCTGAGCAAGCGTCGATCCCCGCGAGAGAGAGAGGCGCAGGCGCAAGAAATTGGTACCAAGCCATGCCAGCAGAGACAGCGGGGTCACGAGAGGCGCGGAGGTTTGGACGTGTGGCGGGAGCGGGTTGGGGGGTTGGGGGGTTGGGGGATGGGTTAGTGTAGGGTAAGTGTGTGTGTGTGTGTGTGTGTGTGTGTGGTGTGTGTGTGTGTGTGTGTGTATACCATCTGG